TAATTGTATTGGATTTGGATTCGGGGACATTAGTGCGCACAAGTTTTAAGGTCCCATGGTTTCACCTGGTGGCTACTGGTTTTGGAGCCTTAGTTTCCGGGTGCTTTTGGTGAATTTGTGAACGGCACTGATGGGAGCCATCCATGCTGCGACATACTAGTTTTTTCTAGTCCGGCCACTAAGGTTACCGGTGCTAGTTCCGGTGTTTGCTTGGCGGCAACCAATGCGTACGTTACCTGGTTCCTCACTATGGCTGGTTGACTGCAGCTTAGGGTCTTCTGGATAGCGAACAAACTACTAGGTGTAACGCACTGTACAGAAGTTGCAGCAGGCACGCTGCAGACAATGTTTTTACCTCTGGGAGAGTGAGAAGGGAGTTCGTATTGATTGAGGCTGCGTCATTGGGGTAATGTTGGGACGCCTGGCTCTCTTCTTCGGCCTGAATAGGGAATTCTGGATGTTATTTTCACATACAAGTGCAGGTCCGTTTCCTCCCATAGGTTTAACCCTGACGCACACCAGTTGCTCGACTGCTTCTGTTAATCTTTCATTCTTCTTCAGTAGCGCAGTTAGACAGCTAACAACTGGGATAGCACTGCATACTGGACACAACCAAAACGCCTGTCATTTTATTGTGCCGTATCGTTTTTATCTGCTCCGTCCCAAGACATTTTGTCGCAATCTAGCCCACTCTTCATCAATTTAACACACAACTCACACTTGCTCTTAACGTGACACATGTTCGCCAAGGGCGTGCAGTTTTAAGGTCACGCGTTTGTCGGATGATCAGTTAGTGCAGCTTCCCGCCTCAATGATAAGTGTGAGTCAGCGTGGCGCCCGCTGTCAGCGGTGATCCCTTGTAAGCACAGGTTGCAGTGTTGGTCGGTTGATCGATCGATGTTAGGTCCGGCTGGTTTGGGACCCAGTAAATGAATCTAAACACAACGCTGAATACTGGTTGAGAGATCACAAATTCCTTCACAGATTCATTGAGAAACACACGATTGGAATAAGCTTAGGCTGTTCGCACTGCTTCGAGAATTGCTCCGAATGGTGTTACACAGATGGGCAATGGGTGCAAGGTGAATGAGTTATCCGCTTGTGTCCAATCACGGATGACAGTCAAATCCGTTAGCAATGGTTAGGACTATAGTGACAAAAGCTAATGCCACGTATGATGGATCAATGTGCAGAGCTAGTAAAACCGGTTCGAATGAGTGTACGGTGACTGCGCTGCAAGAAGATGTAGAGGATTACTCCAGATGACCCGGGAGCATGCGCCTCAAGCGCGACTCGCGCCACATGGAGCCAAGTTTACCTTCTCCACTGTATCAACGTGCGTTGCAGTAAATCTGGCGATTAGACAACCAGTTGTTGGCTGCTCAACCGTTGCTGCCACTCAAATTCCAAAGGCAAAGCTGTTGCCTCGACGAGACCTCGATTCCGTTGGAACCCAACAAAAATGAATGACTGTCCCGGGTAATGCAAATGTTTGTCCACTGCTTCACTCTGACTTGAGGGGATAAACTTTCCGTAATCAAAAATCTGCCCCATAAGTTTTTTAAATTGTAATGTGTGTTTATTGCAGTAGTTTCCAATTCAGCTAACTTGTCGCCAGTACTATAAATGCTGGCATCTTTGGATACGGTCAACTGATGTATGTACTACGCGGTCGACGCTTCGCCAACCAACCCAACGATGCCACAGCACCGAAATACTTCTCTCACATAGTTGTCTCAACCGACGCATAAGAGAATACACTACTCCGCTGGTCAGTCATGAACAAAATATCTATATTTATATTGCAACTTTACAGTCTAACAAAATATATTAGTTCAGCCTATGGAATAGTTGAGCTGTCCACTTGGTGTCCATGGGTTCCATTGCTGCAGAGGTAGTCTAGTCCCTTGGTACGAACATGTCGGAGTGCAGCAATAGAAGATCAAAATCATGGCAGCCATCCAGTGATAAACTCCGAAGATTGCCACTGTCTAGAGCTATCAAAACTGTGATCCATCGTCTATTATGGTGACCATTAGGAAGACAGACTGTTTGATTTGAATTTAACCAATCGTTTTTGGACAATGATAGATGGGTGGATCATTAGTTGAACAGAAAAAGACGAAACGTCTGCAGCTGCTACGTACAGCATTTCTCTTTAACGTATGCCAGAGCAAAACGACTGACACTTACTTGACACTTTCCGCCATTCTGACATTTGTCCACGCAGTCGTCCACATCTGGTGATGGAAAAAGTAGCATACCGGTTTCCAAGATTAGCACCAACACAGGTAAAACAGTGAGTATCTAATGCAGTGTTCGTTTGACTAGCCATTAATTTGATCCTCGCTCTCCCGTGTCTTCCTCTAAACTTTCGAATGTAGTAATTATCTCCATACAGATAACATTTTCCTACTCAGCATAAGAAATAATTAATGGACTGTTTAAACAAAAGTAACAGCAAGCATCCAGAAACATTGCAACAGTTTGCATCTATTCACGAATTCATATTTTATTGGATACACCTAAAATCCCGTTGAAGCATTCTAGTGTTAAACTAGTAGAATTCATTTTACAGCTCTGTTTAAACAGGCGGTATTCTGTTGAAAGTGAACACTGTGGGCCAACAAGCATCCTGCTGTTTATCTCCACACTAAACGTAATTTGGACACATTGGAACATGCTACACGTTTAAGTTATCTGTCCATAGTAGTACCCTACCTTCGTAAAGGTTCCATAATATATCTGAGAGTGGCACTGGGGTATCTTTTTAGAAAGAACTACGAAAACGATAAGGGAATGGTGCCCTCGTAACAAGAACGGATTGCGCAACACAGGTCTCCTTAGTATCGCTGCCCGAACCCGGGGGAGAACGTCAAACAGCATCGTTAACAAAACGATATCAAAATCTCAACAAATATACCGCTGTTGTAATACCGCAAGCGGTTTACAATGGAGTGCGGTTGCTACCAAGAAAGCCCGACATCTATAAGCGGTAGCATTCTACACCGGACGAGAAACTAAGGAGTGAAGCAATTATATACTTGTGTAACCACTACAGCTTCCATGCTTTACATCATAAAATAAGTCTAACACTATCCGTGACATATTGAAAGATGCCGAGCAGCAACAATATTTCCAGACTCAACTGTGCTCCAGTGTCTCAGAACCAACGTCAACGTCAAGTAGAGGAAGAGAATTAGACGAACCAAAGCAAGTGGGACCTCATCGAACTCCTTTGCGATTCGTTCCTCCGTGAACAATTTCTTCAGGATTGAGTGGCATTCATCATTCGCTTGACCATACCGACCTGCTAGGTTTCGCCCAATCCTCCAATGCAGCCGCTGAACAATTGCTCCACTTGCGCTCGACGTGTGGGGCCTCGTTCCAAAGTCAGCACATGCTCAATGTGTTTACACCGTGTTCACTCTTCCTGTGACACTTCACTTCAAACACCCGACATTGAACTCTGCCGCTCACATCCGCAAACCGTACTGCGCTACATCTGCTTGGTTTGCCTCCCTATCATTGTGCATTCTGGACGTGATATCCCTAGTGACCGCTCATCCACCACATGCCATATGGTGGGCTCAATTGCCTCGTCCCCTTCTAACCCGTCCTTCTCATCGCATAACGACTAGCCGCAATCGCAGTCGCTCTGGTCATCACGAGTGGTCGAAACGCCGGCTAACGCCAACTGCAAGGAAGTACGACTGCTCAATCAAGAAGGACTGCTGTGGAATCTGCTAAGGAAATTAGATGGCCTAGCCGAACGACAACAGCCGATTTCCAGCCCTCCGAACTCGCATGTTGTCTCGTTATACAATGCCGATCCGTCCAGCACTCGTCAAAGCGCAACGCTCCCGGCGAAGGCCCGCCCACCTAGGAAGCCTACTGCCCCCCCCCAAGTTCGTGTCCAAATAAACCTGCAACGCATGGCTCCACCCCTAACTCAGTCATATGCACGGACGTTCCAGAGTCTATCGACCTGCAACTACGGAATCGACTTTCTCATGACTCCATCGTGTGGAGCTCTATCTGTGTCGCTCTAAACCTCCCCGATATTAAGTCCTGCAATCACACAAGACTGACTCGTCACCCTTCATCTCCGAAGGCCGGTAAGCCAAGACTCCTTCGTGTTGAATTGCAGCCAGGCACGGACATGGAGGGTGTTCTGCTGTCCGCCCACCTTCTCCAAAGCGACGCATCCTTGGTGACTACCACATTTGTATCTTCGCCGATATCCATTGAACTGAGCGCGCAGAGCGCAGACAGCAGTCGGCGCCACCCTCCCAACCCTGCTTCATCATAGTACACGGCGTTCCAGAACTGCATGCCCTTGACGTAACCTTACAACAGCGCAGTAGCATGACTGAGACCAACGGCGGTTTCTCCAGCAGATACCGATCATTGTCAATGTAACCACGATGGATGTCCAAAGCCTACCCCGTCCAACCAATTATACAGTAGCGGCCCACCGTCTCCTGAAAGTTACTTTCCTCAATGCGAGCGTGGCAACCGATGTCCTCACCGCCTGGTATGCTAATAAAAGTCGAGCACCACCAGGTGTCTGCTTAGGTCCAGAAAGCCACTTGGTGAAGAGACGCACGGCCTGCCACACACCCCCAGCAGCAGCAGCCCCCTCGATACCTTCACCACACGCTGCCCTAACCGTATGTAGATTGTATACTACCGAATTAACTGCCCCACTGCCTGGAGTCACCTGGTCTCCTACACACCCCTACCGGCAGCCCCCCAACGAACCTCACGCACCTACCCACCCCTACTCCGAGGATTCACACTGTTAATGGGACGGAACCAGCCAATGAGAGCGTTTTACGCTGAGGGCTATTGATTTGGCCATAAATTGAATGTACCGTTAGTTGGACTTTAAGAAAATATACTTGCCAACCGTACGCCGGTCTCCTGCTTTGGGAAGTCGGGCTGATCAGAGTGCACGCTAGCAGCAGGTCATCGGTAGGTCAGCCGAAACCATAACACACACCCTCATCCCTAAGTTCCAGCAACGTTAATGGCTCTATTCTTTCGAAACAAAAAACTGTGTACTGCCGGTCATCTTTTGGCCGGTAGCCCTGTAAAGCTCCCGCACTCGTCTCGCAGACAAAGCTTGTTTACATTTACACGAACGCACAGGGCCTCCTATGCAAACTTCCGGAACTGCAATCTCGACTTCTGCCAACACCAGCGGACCCAATGACCATAACAGAAATATGGACGTCAGGCGACATCACCGACTGTGAAATCCAACTTCCTCACATGTCCGTCCTGCGCTCTGATCGCGCTACCCTAGGTGTCGCACTGTACTACGACACCTCCCTCCGTTGCACCACCGTGGCAGACTCTGCTTTGTAGTCTCCTGACACCATGTGGTGTGAAGTAGTACTAACTTCCAAACACTCCTGCTGCCTTAATATCATTTATCGCCTTCATAATAACTCCACCCGAGGATGACGCAAAACCCTTGCTCGAAATCCACTTCATTATATCCCTCAGATACACACACCTTATCAAGGGAGCTTTCAATGTACCCGGTCTATTTCGCTCCGTTCCGACGACTGGCTCCTTTGCGTCAACGCTCATTGAGCTTTTGCTCACGGCCCGGCTGTACAACCATACCTACCATCCAACCAGATTTCGAACCAACAACCAACCATCACTCCTAGACCTTGTCCTCACCAACGAAGAACTGATGGTTGAGCACGTCGAATATGATGCCCTTTGGGGTTCAGCGATCACTGCGTCCTCCGGTACGAATTTGTATGCATTGCCGAAAAGCCTGTTGGCACGGTGACTTACACAAAAAGCTGGACTGATTACGAAAAGTTAAGCACTCTCATTTTCGTAAGCAACTGGTCATCGGAAACTCACTTGGGCGCTGATAACGCGTGATCAACGTTCTTCATTACTCTACGCGAGCTTGCACCTAAACCACGACCTGCAAACAGGTTTTCATAAGGAAGAAACCTTTCACGCCCGTTCAAAGTCGGACCCGGAAGTGGATTACCCACAGGGACACGGCATGGAGAACATCTTTTTCCTGTTCAACAGCTACTCACTGGGAAGCCTACCGAGTTCTCCGTAACCTATGCGTCCAGCTTATACGCGAAGATAAAAGTGAGCAGCAGTGTCAGCTTGTGCGGATCTTCTGCCAACCCCAATGCCAATTATAGTCACGCCAACCACCTTCGGCAAGTCAAACACGGTGTCACTGCACTAAGCACACCCACATGCCTCACCAAATCAGCGAACGAGGCCGCCGAATTCCTGCGCATCTGCTTTTTCCGTTCCAACTGTCCCCACAATGACGCAACACTCTCCGTTTTCAACTTCAACGGCCCTGGCAACTTTTCAGATTAATCCAGAGAGGGTCCTGGCGAAGCTTAAATCCCTGCGGGTAACAGCCTCCCAGGCGCAGACGGTTTCCAACCAAGGCTCTTGCAAACATGCGCTGTAGCTTAAGCTTTACCTCTAGCAGAGCTATTCACCCATTTCTTCTCGCATGGTGAAGTCCCCAACGGTGGGAAATGCGGTACAATTACGCCAATCTACAAAGGCGGCAAGCGTAAGGACCCCGTCAACTACCGACCGATAATACTCCTCTCTACGATTTCCAAAGTGATGGAATCGATCATCGCCGATGCTTTAATAGACAACCTTGAGGCTCGGAAACTGCTTTCCGACTGCCAGCACGGCTTCCGGCGGCAACGGTCATGCCTGAGTAACCTGTTACTCGCACACGGGATAGCTGGACGACTGCGGCTGACGCCGGCCTGGAAACGCAGTTCATCTTCTTAGATTTCTTCAGGGCTTTTGACCAAGACGACCATGCTATCCTAATGCATAAAGCTGTCGTTCTACGGTATTTCTGAGGCCTTAATGGACTGACCCCGGAGCTACTACCACCGTACCGTCCAAGTACGCTTCGATGGAACGCTGTCCTTCCGTATCCCTGTGACAAGCGGAGTTCCAGAGGGGTCTGTTCTTGGATCGGAATTCTTCCTATACTTCATCGATGATATCACAACACAAGTTGAGTCCTCGATGCTGCTTTATGCCGACGACGCGAAGCTGTGGCACACGATCAATGCTCCAGACGATATCTGCGCACTTCAGAGAGACCTCAACCGTCTGCACTAGTGGTCATTGGAAACCAACCTCCCGTTTAGCTCTTCGAAATGTCGCGTCCTCTCCACCTGCGCTTCCACCTCCAATATACTTCCTGGGGGAGTCTGCTCTCCAGGTCTCGTCAGCGGCATCATCACCCAAACCAACTTTTCAGTATCTGCTTCCTGCCGAAAAGCATCCACTATCGCTAATTGTATGCTGGGACTGTTAAAACGTGCCCGGGGCATTTCAGCATTTCCTGGTTGCTCAACGACCAGCGTACGCTTGAAGTCCGACAACGGCAGGCAAACTAATTAGTACGGGGTCTCAGACACTTGAATAATGCACAACGGCTCCGTTGCCTTGATCTCTTCTTTATGACATACCGACGGCTTCGGGGCGACTTTATCCTCGTATCTGCAATCTTATCCAACCCTGAACACTCCTGCCGCCACTTACTGAAACAGCACCACGCATGTTCCCATCTTCATGGTCACCCACTCCGGCTCACATATCAGCACAGCCGGGTGAACTGCAGGCGACATTTCTTCGCTCTGCGAGTCTGCCGATCATGGAACGCCCTGACTGCCGACCTAATACCGTCGTCTGTGGATGATTTCAAGACTCGCCTGGACCGTCATCTTGCCGACATGCATCGTGCTCTCCCCTGAGAAAACGGCCTGCAGTTTGGAATACCACACCCCATACTAGCCCCAGTCACTTCTCTGCCACTTCTCACCAGGCGCAACCGCTTGTTTCGCTACCTCTAACGCTCCATATTCACACGTTGTTGGAGACTATTTTCCTTTATGCTACTCTTTTTCTTTCCCTAGCTATGTCAGAGGGCGTGGTGCGGTTTCACGCTTCAAGCCGGCTTACATTCTGTTCAAATGCCACATAGGCCCGATGAAGATACGGCTAATACGCGAATCCAACCCGTTATAAGTTTGCTTGGCCTTTCCATATGAACTGACCCTATTTCTTTACCTCTTATGGTTCATATAAAGCTACAGCTCTTTTCCCATGAAATACAATGTTCCAGTGTGTCGTAAGCTAATCAGTGTTGATGGTAAACATATGAACGTAGCGCCGATCACGCATCACCTTAGCTTTGAATATTATGAGGAGGCAAGAATCCTGCGCGTTACTTACAATTCCATCACATAAGCAGTCCTGTTACCGACAGGTCTACTCAGAAGTGAACACTCCTCGACTCGTGTCTTTCCGGATATCCCCTAGGGTGAGCGTTACCAAAGTAACCAGACCTCAGAAGACAATCGAAATCAAAATATAGCCGTATCCACGGTGTTCACGGTGTATACGCTGCCCCTGACACTGAAGCATACCATGAGCATTAAGTAGCAACTCATATTAATGAGCAGTTGTGTTAGACTCACGAATCGCTTTCCTTGAATGACATGTTGGCGTTATCGGTGTTACGGCTACGCACATAATCGAAGTACAAAGAATGCGGGAAATTTTCTGTTTGGAATATGAATATTAATATTGCAACAGTGTCGAACAAACCTTGATAATTGACCCTATTCTTCCCGGTTTCTACACAGTATTACTCAAGTACTAACTGCGGTGGTTTAGGTTACGTTTTTGTTCCTAGACCCATGTGATTCCTACTGGGGATTTTATGTTTGTGGATGACAGATCACTACACTTCCAAACATGTGCTCCAATAGTCTACAAATGTCCCTTCGGCATAAGATTACTGGTTAGCAAACATACTTTTACATGAACGAATCTTGATGGACGGTACATATGTCGGACTTACCGTAAACTGCTCAAGTACCAAACCATTTATTTTTAATAATATAAGGTTGAGAGGATGTCCCTTAGAGAACCCCATCAAGATACTTGTCTTGTTTACCTAACGTTTCAGTCCGTAGTGAATTCACCAAATACTTAAAGAAACATAATGCCTGATTAATAATAACTCAATGAGACAAACATGGGATGAATTACCGTGTCTGCAGGAACAGTATAATCAATCGCTAGACTCTCGAGCTATGGGTATTGGACTTTAGTACTATAGTCCGTGAATGCGGGTCATAAAGTCATCTTTCCATTCTAACTAACATCACCAGCGATTCCACTGCTCCAGCTGCGTCCTAAAATTGGATATTACCCAAAAAACTATTGATGAATAAAAGGAGTTAACCCGTCTCTATCTACCTGTACTTTTAAGATGCTCCATTTGACCTTCCTACATACAACTGACTCGGACAATGCGTACTTTTGGGAATGGTACTCACTTTGTTCACAGAACTGTCCTGTCCACCCTGGCTGACAGATACAGTAATAATCGCTGCCGTTTACCGGTGGAATCAGCGGTGTGCAATCCCTTGCATGGACACACCGAGAGTTGCCGCAAGGTGATCTCAGTTGGCAGTTGGATCCTTTGAATCCTGGTGGACAAAGGCAACGAAATCCGACCCCGTCCAGATCTTGGCAGGTGCCACCATTGAGACAAGTGTTTTGAAGGCAGTAATCTATGTCTGTAACAATATCCAAGATCAAAGTTGGTTGGTAGCTTTTGACTGTACATCTCATTTAAAATCGGTTTATGCTGGAAGTGAGTCATAGTGTTACTACGGTACTACCTTTATTTCAAATACATATTGGGTCTGCGAATATTTTTGACCTACGGGATAGGAAATCGTAACGATTTCCTTATTTTTTGTGCCCGTTATCTAGCTGCGTCTATCAATCCAAGAAATGTCAGCACACGATCTACCAAGTATGAGCCAATACCGACCTCTCACATTCACCTAAATTGGTGCTACACCTAACTACGGCGTGACAGTAACTCGTGTGTGCTATCTGACTTGGCTGATCGTTCGTAAATCGCTCTCAAATATCGAGTTCGTGGTTGCTGTCAAATACGAGTTTTGTCAGACGGTTTATTTTCTGGTGACTGTACACTCTGTATACTATAAAGTAATACAATCTACTTCGGCAGGATTCAACAGTTCCATCTAAACAGCTAAGTATGGCGGACTCATCTGTCTTCACTTCACACGTTATGACGTTGCAAAGTTAAAAGGATAAGGGACATGTAGAAAAAGAAACGAAAAAGTCAATCCAAAAAGCAACAGAAAGGTGGATGCTCTGGGTAGTGCCAGTAAACTGAACTAATTAATCGAATTGAAAGTCTCAATCATGCATTATTTCAAGCATTTTACACTAGCCGTTTGCTACGGCTGGTACAGTTGAAAAAACTGTCTGAAATTTCACCATTAGTATATAGGCATCTCGCTATTGCATTACATTTACGCATAGTTGTTTCAACGTAAGTACATTGGTACCTAAAACTTGTTGTCTTGATCTCCCAGGATCGGACGACAATAAAGACCACAATTAACAAAGCGACTAAAAGTCATAGGCAGATAACTGCATGTAACGGTTCGACAGCTACCGACTACACCGTATCTTGTAGGTTATCGTACTATGGCGATCGATCCCGAGGAACTTGTTATAGAGGACGACACTCGGCGGTGTAGGAAACTTTCTGAATGTGAAACATCATTTTACGAAATAAACTGTGTATTGCGGTTCTGCAAATCCCGCCAGCGATCTTCAACTTCGCATTGTGTCGACTGTGGTGCACGGAGCTAACCTGCTGGAGGTCTCATCTATAAGCTTGTTTCCTCATCTGAAGATTTATAGGCAACTAGATGAGTGGACCGTTCACCATAGCGAGTGGTTGCTCACTCATGGCTCTAACAGATATGTATGTTTAAATATACATTCCTAACCCACTTCATGATTTATACCAGATGCATTGAAGTGTAATTAAGGTACATCGTCAAGTGTTCAACGGGGAATCTAGAAGGGATTTGTCTAGTTCCAGGCAGCTATAACATTGGCATACCCTACTTCAGCATTTAGTCACGAGGAAGGTTTCGACCACTTAATGAGCAGAATAGGCTGTTACGAAGTAAAAGCAAATCGTGAAAAAATGATACGAAACATTGTGGTCCTAAATGGAGGCACTTGTTGTTTCAAGATGGAGATTGCATATCGCATACTATTCAAGGAGCTGCTGTTCCAAATGATCCCATTGATACCACCAACTATTGCGATGAGAAATTGCACCGGCGTAGAGGCAAGGAATTTCGTAAAAACAAAAGTTGCTTACATTCATCTGCAGAAGCAAAGGGTTTGAAAGAGTCAAATGAATACATAAGGAACTCAAATCCTTAGCAATATTCAACTGAATCCACAAGCATGTCAAGTTGTATCTAAAGTGGTGCACAGCTAAAGAAGCGTGCCCATCGTCCTGACCAATCGGAAATCAGTGCTAGAGTACTCAGAACATTTGCATCGGTTGATGCAACGGTTAGACTGCGCTCAGCCAACAAACCACCTGATGCGCACGTGGACGTGAAAGCAACACGTGAGCTCAGTCACTGTAGAATGCGGTGCGGACTAGCACACGGCATCCAGGATGGTTGAGGAAGTGCTTTGACTCCTACCCACTCAATTACGCAGCATCAAAATACACAACACAGAACTAGGGGGCCGGAAAAATTCCATCCGCCTTCACAGTGCGCACTGTTGCGCACAGATTGTTGGACGTGAAACGTGCTCCACAATGAGACAGTATCGATTGCCTTCACTGAAGGTAGCTGCATGCAAGCTAGCAGACATGTCCGTTACCCCACACCTATGCTTAGCGGTGTCTACGTGTGATGGGGTGTGGGTAATAGTGCCTAGGTGAAATAATGCCTGCGTTGTTTCACTACGCGCAATCATGACACAATGCGTAAGTAACCAGTGGGTGTGACCGAATTATCTGTAAACGGAAGATGATCGGCCTAAATGATGAAGTTAGCATCAGCATCTGCACAACAATGCATGATGTACTGCAGTGAGCATTGCGGAAAGGCACAGTGTAGACTGCGATAAGGTTATCGGATCCGCAGACGTTTGCATATACCGGTCTACAGATTGTCTGACGGAGGAAGAGGGATTAGCATCCATTTACCTACCATGGCTCGCTTATACTGAACGCCGGTCATTTTCGGTTGTTGTCCCCAACATCCAATAGCGATTCAATGTTTACGAATGTCGCAACATGCTACTGCTCGTGCAGAGACATGAATTTCTCTCTCACTTTAGTGCTGCTGACGTATGCAATTCTACAGACGAGTGTGTAATGCAGGGCGCAGCTGAGAAAAACGTAACCTCTAAAGACAACCCGACATGAGGCTGTTGAGCAGCGAGCGAGCTACAACGTTTTTCCGGATGTCAGCTAACTTCGCGCTGAGTGCTGAAGGTCACGGCCAACCGTAGACCTTGGAGCGATCGATGGTTATCTCTGTGTGTCGCGCTGGCTACGCGGCCAAGTCGGCTTAGGCGACCGAAACTGCGACGTGCATGTGCGCAGGTGATGGCAGCTCAGCTGAGGACGAGGTTACACATTGCAACTCTTGTCAATGTTATTGAATCACAGGTAATGGAGCATGAGCAGATAATGCAGCCGGGATCACGTAACGTTCCTCTTACTCAGCGCGCGCTGATTATTCGGCTGCACGGTGAATGCGATTTAAACGCCGCAGCAGCTTCAATAAAATACAATGCAATGAACGCAAGAATGCGTCCCGTCACCGCCCGGTACGTGCTTAAACTAGTGAAGGAGTTCGAGCAAACTGGGAGTGTGTGTAACATGAAGGGAACCGGATCGCCTCGCATCACCACGGACGACTTTCAGCTTGCGCTGTAGTTAGTTAAGTGTCAAAATTTTCCGATCTCGGCATTCCTCGGATCGCACAGTACTGTGACACGACCCGATATGCAGTACACGGGATATTACTGGAACGAAAAGCCCGGAGATTCCGTACACTTCAAGTGCAGGGTTTGAACGCATGCGATCCGGAGAAGCGGCACGAAGTTTGCCGCTGGTTGCTGGATCACGGGGATATTCGTTCTATCTTGACAGATGAGGCATTGTTTCATCTGCATGGAACAATGAAACATTACTGTTTGACTACCAGCAACCCACGAAAATTTACCGCATCACCACAGTGTGAAACCGATGGTTTGGGCCGGATGAACGAGGCAAAAATCTTGGGCCCATATTTCTTTTCCGGGAATGTGACCGGTAGGTTGTTGTTTTGAAGTACTAAAGCCTTATCATTTCCTAGCATCGTCGTATTTGGAAATGCTTTCGACATTTGTGCTTCCCCAGTTGGAGGCTGAAGGGGCATGCAGTACCAGTTGGTGGCAGCAGGATGGTGCACCTGCACATTCTACTAAAACGGTGCGTGCTTACCTCATCGAGACATTTGGCCACCATTGGATCGGACGCGGTGGACCAATGGAGGGGTCTGCTCGCTCACCAGATTTGAACCCCATGGACTTTTTCTATGGGGCTATCTGAAGCGGCGAGTGTACCAAACAAGGCCGCGTACGTTGGATCAATTGAAAGAAAATATTGTGAACGAATGTCGCGCGATCACGCGGGATACATTGAAGAACGTGCTTGCCAATTGCAGCAAGCGGTTTCTGCACTGTAAGCAGAATGCCGGCGGACATTTTGAACATATCCTTCACTAGCATAAATGATCATTCCAATACATTTCTGTTAATATACTTATCCTCTTTCACAAATGTGTTAACGACTAAACTGGTCCACTGGCAAATGGTGCTAATGATGCGTCCGGTCGGATAGAATTATTAACGTCCAGGCTGTCGTTGAGCACATAAACAGCGTAGGCACCGAAACGTTCAATGGCTACTTATGGCGGAATCACTGAGTATCTATGTGCTGAGGTTCGTCCAGCCTTAATGAAAAGCCGACTACGTTGTTGCCTCAGTTTCAGGCTATTGCCTGTAAAGTTGGTGTTCGGCATGAATTGCAGTAGGTGGAAACATGTGTACGTGGGGTCGTTCCGTATTTGGTAGATTAATATGAAGTCTCCACGTAGCCAGCTGTAGTGTCTACTGAACACTCCGAGTGTTTTTAGTCGCTGCTCGACCATGGTGAGTTCCAAGCGCTGCAAGTTCACGGTTTAACCAAGCGTGCCAAGCCTGGATTACGTATTCGACGTGTTAACGCACATAGGCATGGCGCATCATAGAGAAGATGAATGAATCCAAACTTTCGAATGCCCTCCGCAAGCTAACAACGTGCTAGTTACCACTTTTGGATTCCGACTGTCTGGCATAACCGAAGTCATGCTGTACCAGTACACAGAGGCGAAGTTCCTGAGGGCTTGTCTGCAGGTCATGTGCCCCAATATTCTGGAGATAGGCGTGTCTATGGCGGATGTGGATAATGTGTCACTTGACCACATTTAATGGCAGTGAATTCCTCACCGGTCAATACCAGGTCCCATCTAGGTCGCACATGGAGGATCTTGTGGTCGTCCATTCTCTTGATCCCCGGCCAACTTTTAACGTCATCTTGCAAAGTCAAATTTTCGAGGTGATGGCTCTCGCAAGATCGTCGCACTCCACTCGATTAGAGTCGGGTAGAGATGTTCGGTCTCTA